TTGTGGAGCTGAGAGGTAAAACCACTAGTTTCAGATTAGACTTTCATTTTAAGGAAAAACTGTACGCACACGTCAAGGCGATGCTTCAAAGGGCTGCTTCAAATGCATCAGACAAACCAAAAAGTCTTAAACCTAAGGTAGGTTTTATTAATGTATCTTAATATTTCAGGTAATAATTTGAAGGTGTTATTCAAGTAGTTCAGATATATTAGGTTATAATAGATGCGTCATGCATTGCTGCCATATCCCAGTAGATATTACGTTTGAAAATGAACCAAAAAAGTGGACATTTCTAAGAACAATGTAACAAAAAGGAAACAGCTTGACACCACACAGCATTACTGAATAAGTATGAACAGCTTCGCCAAGGTCAAATTATGATACCACAGTTTGCTATCTGATTGAGATTACATGGATTTTAAATTTAGATAATTATTTGCATTTTCCTGTGGAAGGGCTGACAGGTTTTGAGCAGATTATGAATCATTCAGTGTTTTTATCAAATTGAAAACACTAAAACGATGACACGTCAAGTGCCGTTTAATGTACTGAAGTGCTTTATAACAAGGACAGTATAATGACAACTTTTGTTTTATGCAAAGTAATTTACATGTACATGTAGCATGTGCCTTGATGTTATATCAGTTATAAATGTGTTTGGTTTTATTTACCTGACACAGCGATCCACCAGTTTTGGAAGATTTGACACATTCAGAAATCAACACTCCCCTTCCAAACTCGAGGAAAATGGAGCACCTGAGGTAAGAAGAATTTGCATGAATAAGACACTTATTAATCTGAGAGTTTATGCCCCAATATGATACAATGTTTCCTCATAAAATATTTAAACTATAATTGTCTAACTGACCACTGGGTGGAGTTTTTTTTTTAATATGCAAAAGGATTAACAAAACATTTTGTGTGTGTAAAACAGGCAGAGGGTGAGTCAACAGCAGAAAACTGTGAGAAACCAGGAAGTCTGGGAAAAAAGATGAAAGCCATCTCGATGACTATGCGTAAAAGGATGGCCAAGAAACACGTCAAATCCTTCTCTGAGGACATGGTGAGTCACAATGCAAGTTCCTCATTTGATTACTGACACTGATTAGGCAACTCAGTTCTTTATTACCGAAAATATCAGCAGTTCATCAGACAGTACAGGAAGACTGGGGCTTGGTTGGCACATTTAAAGAAATATTAAATATGTATGTAAATATTAAGGGGGTTGTATTATTCCTTTTGTTGGTTGTTACTATCCTGAAATGTTTTTTTTTATTATATATAAAACTAAAATTATATATATTCAGATCGGCTATGAATTAATTATTATATTATATTAATTATTGTATGATCTTCAATGCTTAAAAGTCTATATCAATATATAGCTGGTTTCCATCTCTGTTAACTAACATTTATATATTTTATAATTTAAAATAAAAAAGTGCAAAGCTGTACAAAAGGTAAATGGCACATATTAGTACCTTAAAGGTACACATTAGTACCTAAAATGTGTTTTTTTTTTTTGAAAGAGTACTGCTCCAGTGACAGTTTTGTACCTTTTTTCTGAGAGTGTACCTTATGACCCAGAAATCATGAGCCACAAAACAAACCCCTGAAACCAACCAACCCCAGTTCGTATGAATATCCAGACTGATATTTTGATTGGTGCAGGGTGATGACACTGAGGGAGAAACAGAGAATGGGTCTCCAGCAGAGAAGAGCTCAGACCACACCAGCAACTCATTAGAAAGCCTCTACAGTGGACAGAGCTTGTCCAGTAAGTATCTACACACATGCGACTGAAGTGGAAAGTGTTTAGACATTGTAATTATACTCTTTTTGTTTATATTTATTGGCTCAGGTGGTGTTGCTAGCAGTTCAGATGTATCCAGTAACAGAGACAGCCTGAAACTGGAGGAGGAAGTGCCCTACACGGGGCAGTTCTGCGGGCGAGCCAAAGTACATACAGACTTTGTCCCTAGTCCATATGATACAGACTCCCTCAAACTGAAGGTGAAATACAAATTGTGATGTTTTTATTCAAGCTTGCATCCAGTTGAATTAATCATCACAATTTTAAAGGGGAACATTAACTGCCAACAGAAAGTTAATGGTGTTAGTGATCTTTTTCAGGTGGGAGACATCATCAACATCATAAGTAAACCACCTATGGGCATATGGACAGGAATGCTTAATAATAAAGTGGGAAATTTCAAGTTTATTTATGTGGATGTTCTGCCTGAGAAAGAGAAGGAAGAAGAAGAGGACACTCCAAAAATAAGACCTGTGAAAGTATGCAAGAAGCCACGACCAAATACACTCCTGGAGTTATTAGAGAGACTTCATTTAGAGGTATAACCAGACAGGACACGCATGTGTATCCATGTACACATAGAAACATCACTTATCCTTCATGCCCCACCTGCTTAATGCTGCAAAATCCACCAGAAAACTATCCACAAGTTTTAATGTCACTATCTTCACCTCACACTGATTGGCTGCCAACAGTGTTTTCCTTGTTAACTCAAATAAAACTATTAAAAACTATTTTCTGTAACTGAAAAAAAGCTGAAATAAAATAAAATATAAATACTAGATGAAAAACAGAAACATAAACTAACTGAAATAAATAATTTTAAGTTAAAGCATTAAAATAATATAAATATAACAATATTAATAGTAATATATAATACAATATAAACAGGTTAATAAAATAATATATATAATTATAGCTTTATAATTAATTTTTAATAAAAATGACAAACACATAAAAACTTACTTCATAGAAAAATGACTGTAAATTCAAAAAATAATGCTATAATAGTGTATAAATAGTAAATAAATAAATAAACACTCAGTTCCCTAGAAAATTAATTAAAAATGCCCACTCACATCCACACTAGTGGTCATATATGATTCAGTACAAGTGCAAGATAATTTCCCTAAAATTTCCATTAAAAATGTCCATAAATTTGTCTTTGACCAGATAGTTTATAGCTGTATTGCTCATTTTAATGTTTGAAATCTCTTTTGTCACAGGAATATGCATCTTCATTACTCCTCAATGGCTACCAGACAGTGGATGATCTCAAACATCTGAAAGAGAGGCATTTGATTGAGCTGAATGTGACCGATCCAGAGCACAGACGCAAGTTGCTTGCTGCATCAGACTGCCTCTATGTCACAAGCAGTGAGTATCAATACAAGCAATTTGATTGGCAAAACTATATTTTGGTTTTCTCTGTGTCCATCTCAGGAAACCTTATGTCAGCAAGCCTCAGGAAGGACATAGATACTGCTATCTTTGCATCGTCTATTTTTGTGTTCGGATGAAATTCTGCCTCTTTGAAATACTAGAGTTAGACTGCGAGTCCAGTTTTACTGAAAGTCACAACCTTATTTGTTTAAATTTAATCTATAACGCTCTGTGCAGTCAGGAACAGCCTTTTCCTGTAAATGCAGGTCAGGATTAATTGGCGTTTGGATGTGGGCTCACTGTGTGAGCAGGTGGCACATGGCTGGGCTGCTCTGGCTGATATGAGTGTGGGATAATAACCAGGAAGACATACTGTCATTTAATTAACATTAATTTCATTTGGGTTTTTGCGCAAACGCAAACCTGATTTGTTCTGGAGAAATTAAATTAACGAGCAGGAATTTGTATGAGAGTTTTAACCTTTCTTTGCTTTACTTACAGAAGACGAAGAGGGAGAGATGAAGGGCGATGAAGATGAAGATAATGACTGTCCCAGAGACTCGGGTTGTTTTATTCCTGCAGAGTGTCCTGACAGCTGAGAGTTATCTAATGTCTCTCTCTCCTGGTATAATTTAATGTTAAAGCTACAAACAGACACAGTTCAACTCTGTTAATATATTTTCTTTTGTCACAATGTGTGTTCGTCTTTCATTTGAATGTACTTGTGTTTTGTATTTACACATTTTTTGTTCAGCTTTGTGTTGAAGTAACCTATTTCTGTTCATGTAGATGTTATGTGAAATTACATGGCAACGTACTTATGTGTGAGGAATTTTACAGCTTTGTTTATAAAAACAAAGCTTACAAATGTTTATCATGACTGAAATGTATATAAATGTTATTAAAAATAAATTATTTATTCTGAAGTTTTCTTTTCTTCCTCATTTTGCTGTGTTTGAACACATTGCTACTGCTGCTAAAATTTATACTATTAACTTTCCATTTGTTTCTCAAAATAACTATTTGGTTTGGGTGGGCGTTTGGTGGGATGAGGTTCCAGATGACTAGTCACGTGCAATGAGTGATAAGGAGCAAAGCACTTTCCTGTTTCCATCCTACCTGAATTAATGCTTAATACGCAACTCCCCTCTCTGAATAATATGCTAATATATATTGGCAATGACTAATATTTACTGATATAATCTTGATTCCACCTATATGTGTTTATTTTGGGAAAATAAAACAAAGTTATTTGAAACTAGGCACCTAAGTTTGCCAGTTGTTAAAAAAAGAAAAGAAAAACGTTTTCATACATATTTATGATCAATTTTACTAAGTATTGTGGCAGGAAATATATATGTTATATATATATATATATGTTTGTGACCACATTTAGTTATTTGACCTCTGCTTGGGGAGAAAAAGAAACTCAGAACGTATGCATATGATGAAAGAGTGGAAAAATAGTTTTACTTGATTAATAATAATTAATACTACTACATAATTCATAAATGCAGGTTTGCAAAAAAATATTACAAACATTTTGATATTGGATTTCAAATGTATTATTATTATTATTTGTTTGTTTGTTTGTGCCATGCATACTGTCTTGCGCACTTATAATGCTGAATTTCTCTAAAGTCTACGGTTTCAAAACTAAAAAAGATAACAGGAAGTTGTGCAGAAGTCCACTTGCGCTTTACAGTGCATCTCGGAAATGTAGTTAACAGGAGTAGTTCCACTTACATCTGTAACCATGCAACTGATGAAAAGAACTACAACCCCCATCAGCCCAATAGCGCGTATTAGGTCGACGTGTATGTTCGCTCAGTCGGCGCAGATACTGAATGAACATCTCTTATACTGTTATCCATAACATTTTGGGTTGGAACCATGGCCGGGGAAATGTCCATAATAGGTGAGTTTTAAATTAAACTAATGTACTCGGGAAGATGTTTGTCAAATTTAACAGAATAACCATTCATGTAGCCGTTAGCTAGAAATAGAACTGACTTATCTGGCATGAAAGTCCCAAATAACTGACTGTACATAAATAACTATATCAGACAGACATATAGTTATATTGTCCAGCTTGAGGCAAAACAGTCAGCCTCAAACATCAGCTGATTGTATACGCCATATATAGACACAGCTGGCGTCCTTTCTTTATGCTACAGATGTTACAGCGGCTGTATGTCAAAACCTAGTTAGCTACCTTTCTGGACAAGCATGTTTGTGAATCAACGCACCAGGAATATGGTCTAAATTTGCCTTGTCTTATTTTTCTACATACCACGTTTTTGGACAATATACCATTGTATACTTTGAAATACATGAACAACATATACATATGGTTACCATTAAGTTCAAAATGTTATATAACGACAGAAACATTTCCTAATTACACAATTTTTTTCGAAGTCAAATATTTTTGTGTGTCCATACAGGTTCTGTCATCCTGGCTTTGTTCCTGGCAGGATATCTGGGACAGCAGTACCTGCCCCCTCCAAAGCCCAGGGTCATTGGGTTGGATCTAGGGACCACTTTCTGCTCTGTGGGAGTGTTTCAGCCTGGCACAGGCGAGATTGAGGTTATTGGAGATGACAAAGGTCACAAAAGCATTCCGAGTGTGGTGACATTCACCCCGACCGGTGTGTTTTCTGGACATGAGGGTCAGGAACTGTCTGACATAAATCCTCAAAACACAATCTATGATGCCAAGAGATTTATAGGGAAGATTTTCGACCAAGAGACTTTAGATAAAGAGAGCGCACGATACCCGTTTAAGGTACACATTTCATATTTTGCACTCTTTAAATGCTCTTGCACTGCTTGCTGTGTCTCTAACATTTTCTTGACTGTTTTAGGCGATATTCAACAATGGGAGTGCAGAATTTTTAGTCTCTACAAATAGCACCTTCACAGTTACTCCTGAATTCATCGGATCCCGTCTCCTCCTGAAAATGAAAAAGATGGCAGAAAAGCAACTGGGAATACCTATTGATAAAGCCGTCATATCAGTGCCAGCAGAGTTTGATGAGAGGCAAAGAAACTACACCATAAGAGCTGCTAACCTAGCTGGTGAGTTTACTAAGGTGTACATTAATCGCAAAAGCCAGTCATTTCATTAGGAATCCACAATTAGGAAATTTGTCACGAATTCACTGCATTGACCAACAGAAAGCTGTTTGGTTTGGAAGTAACTTCTGTGCGAGCTGTCCTTCATACAGCTCTATTCTATTGACAATGGACTTTTTTTTATTGCACACAAAATTTTGTTAAAATTTTGCTAATGTGGCCACAGCTTTAGTCAGTCACAACTTGGTTATGTCTTGCTATTGGAATCTATGGAAGGCACTCAAACTAAAAATAAAAAAGGTAAATTGCATCAGAGCTGTGAGATATAAACTCAGAATTGCGAGAAATAAGTCAGAATTCTGAGTTTATATCTCGCTATTCTGACCTTTTTTATTTTTGATTGTGTGGTGGAAATGGGCTTCCATAGAAATCAATACAATTAGCCTTGTAAAAGCTGATAATGTTCTGGTTAAAATCTGTAATAGTTAACTAGGGATGCACGCTTGGGCATTTGTCACGTGACTGCTATGTGCCAACAAACCAAAAACTGGTTAAACGAAGTGTGTTTTATGTTTTTGCTTCTTTATATGCATTAGATTTGCAGTGAATTCCTGATGTTGGGCCAAACACAATGGTTACTTGAGCATTTGTACTAATGTCTGGACTTGTTGGCCCAAATTACAATTTGTACATTTATCTTCAGAATAGATGCAGAGTATTTATTTATTTCTTCATTATAAAAATAGCATTGAGAAAATGTTTTTCTCCTGTTATCTTGAGCAAGTGTCTGCTTGGACTTCAGCTGATTGAGAGACTACTTGGGCTACTTGGGCATTTGTCACGTGACTGCTATGTGCCAACAAACCAAAAACCGGTTAAACGAAGTGTGTTTTATGTTTTTGCTTCTTTATATGCATTAGCTTTGCAGTGAATTCCTGATGTTGGGCCAAACACAATGGTTACTTGAGCATTTGTACTAATGTCTGGACTTGTTGGCCCAAATTACAATTTGTACATTTATCTTCAGAATAGATGCAGAGTATTTATTTAGTTCTCCATTATAAAAATAGCATTGAGAAAATGTTTTTCTCCTGTTATCTTGAGCAAGTGTCTGCTTGGGACCTTATTGGTTAGTTTATTGCCATCTTTGTGCCTAACTGGTACTAACTGTGCAATAAGTCTGACAACTGGTTTTGGCAGGTTTAATGATGTTGTATTCAGGGAAGCAGCTGTTTTTATATAACTGAATGATCATTGCAGTCTCAGCTATTTATTTATTTATTTTTCCAAGTTTAGTTGTGATTTCAGCTAGCTGTTTCGGTCTACTGGAGTTTTGCTTGTGCCTTTTTAATCATTGCCACTGTTAAATGTGTACCGTAGACTAAGCATAGTCTGATTTTTACTTTATTTTTAAAGACTTACTGTCTTTTTTGTGAGTTTTTCTTCTCTTCTAATAGAGTTAAGTATTAGTAAACAGTAATACCACCTGCCAACTGTTAAATATAGATCATTTAAAATAGACAGTACCGGCATGACCAGTGTGGTATTAAGTTCATGAAATCTTTAAACTGAAGCTTTTTTAAAAATGTAAATTAAAATATATAAACGTTTATATATATATATAAAAAAAGTTAAGTATAATTAACCACTCAGACCAAAAAAAAAGATGTTAAACTTGCTTTTTGTGTTGGCCTGTTTTGTTTACATAATGCTAAAAGCTCAATGTTAGAGGTGAAAATACATTATGCAAAGTGTGAACATAGTTTAATGCACTTTACATACATAAGAGGAGTTCAGAACATTGCACAAAGTCAAAAGGGAAAACAGTTTATCAGTGTGAATGCATATTCAAAACTTTCCTGCAACTGTTAAAAATATTGAATTCTTATAATTGTATTTTTGTACAGTCCTGTATCATTTCCTTTGTTGCATTATGCACAGAACCTGGTTTGTGCGTGTCATTACAATACTTTAACTTTTGCTACTGTGCAAATAAAAACAAACCTTGTTAAAACTGCAGTGTTTTTTTATTGATCAACCTCTGAGACACATCAATACAAAATAAAAACATCAAACAGCACAATCGTTCAGCCTCGTCCTCTGTGTAACAGCACAAGCCACTGTAAACAATGTCACATCTCACATTTACAATATTAAGTAAAAGGTTAGGACATGGGAAGCCCTGAACAAAATATTTAATACATGAAAAGCGACTCGAACAAAAGGGGTGAGACTAAAATGACAATGTAACAGCTTAAAAAATGAAATAAAAATCACTGAACAATATTCAAACACACTTTTTATTATAGGACAGCGTCCAAGTAATATTGCACAGCATCAAAACTCCAAGCCATCTTCCTTTATAAACAGTGTTCAACTACACAATCAAATCTAAATTTTAAACAGACCCTCTTTCATGGATCTTTAAGCTTTGGTTTCTGTAATCCACCATTTCAGCCTAATTAGCCTAAATTTTCCATGTAATCGGGCATCATACCGACCAAGACAATAAGGCTGGGTGATTTCCTCCCAAAATGACAACTGAACCACATGCTAAATGGTGGTATATTAAATACAGTTAATATAACAAAGGCTAAAGGCAGGCACTCTGTAAACACCTGTTTATTCTTAAAAATATTCTTCACAACCATTTGAACAGAAGGCATCATTAGACTGTGAATATCACACCAAATCAAGATCTAGAAATGGAAAAAAGAAAAAAAACTGGCATATTAGGTTATACTCCACATTGGCTGGCTATGGAAGATTATACAAAATAAAATCCCCAAAAACCGACAGATGAAATCCACTATATCATCACAGGCATGCTTTCAATAGGAAGCAAGTAACGGGCATTCCAGGATCCTCAAGCGTTACGTAGGGGAAGAGGCCACAGATTTGCTAAAAGGAAGTCAACAGAAGAACTGCACTTCCTACTTCTCTTTACTGTCCAGAATTTAAAACAAGCAACTTAATAGCGGAAGAAAAAAACAAAATTTTCTGTACACGGGTCCATCATAAACAGTAGGCTAAGAGTTGAGACACCACAAGCTTGATCAGGATGTGATGTGATTTTTCGTTCCATGAGTCAATGAGCAATGCCTTAATTGGTGTAGTAGTTAAATCCATTTTCCGTATAGGGTTCATCGCTGGAGACTCCGTTGCTCACCTCTATGGAATAAGACGAAAAGATGTAATGCAAATTACGCTTAACACCCACAACGTTTACAAGACCTCCACTATGACAACCGCAAACCAAGGATCTTCAATCATACTTGAGATACAACGGCTCTGTTCCAAACCCTAGTGAGCTGCCTACCTCGACAGCATTTTATTAGGCATCACAGGTGTGATTCTGATGTGAAATAGTTATCATCACCCTCATACTCACCATACGCAGGGCACAGTTACCCTGGCCATTGATGCTACAGCCCTGCATGAGCTACCATTCAAGCTGTGGGATGTCAGCAGAGTATGGATTGATGGATGAATGGATGCAGGAAGAGACGGGATGGTGGCAGACAGTGACAGACAGGAGGGAGAGGGAGAGATGGAATGGGATGAAGGGATGAAGTGACACAGATTCAAACCCAGGAGGTGGACAGCTACTGTGGCTGACCTTAGAGACAGGGCAAAAACACACACAGAGGCATGCAAACACTGTTGGGACACATGCACACACAATTTTAATCCAAAAACACATTGCATGCAACCCTTGTAGAGTCAACTGGACATTAATCATGAAACAACAACTGACAGAGGGATCTTGTGTCGCTCTGAAGAAGGATTATTATTTTGTGATAATGAATGTTGGCTGTACATTATTCTACTTATTACACAGCTACTTATCAAATAAACACATCACCTGTTGTTCACCAGTGGACCCTCTGCAGTGAATGGGTGTCATCAGAATGAGAGTTAATAAAAGCACCACAATAATCCACACAACTTCAGTCCATCAATTAACGTCTTGTGAAGTGAAAAGCTGCATGTCTGTAAAACAAAAATCAAACAAGACCTCTATGGAATAAGACGAAAAGATGTAATGCAAATTACGCTTAACACCCACAACGTTTACAAGACCTCCACTATGACAACCGCAAACCAAGGATCTTCAATCATACTTGAGATACAACGGCTCTGTTCCAAACCCTAGTGAGCTGCCTACCTCGACAGCATTTTATTAGGCATCACAGGTGTGATTCTGATGTGAAATAGTTATCATCACCCTCATACTCACCATACGCAGGGCACAGTTACCCTGGCCATTGATGCTACAGCCCTGCATGAGCTACCATTCAAGCTGTGGGATGTCAGCAGAGTATGGATTGATGGATGAATGGATGCAGGAAGAGACGGGATGGTGGCAGACAGTGACAGACAGGAGGGAGAGGGAGAGATGGAATGGGATGAAGGGATGAAGTGACACAGATTCAAACCCAGGAGGTGGACAGCTACTGTGGCTGACCTTAGAGACAGGGCAAAAACACACACAGAGGCATGCAAACACTGTTGGGACACATGCACACACAATTTTAATCCAAAAACACATTGCATGCAACCCTTGTAGAGTCAACTGGACATTAATCATGAAACAACAACTGACAGAGGGATCTTGTGTCGCTCTGAAGAAGGATTATTATTTTGTGATAATGAATGTTGGCTGTACATTATTCTACTTATTACACAGCTACTTATCAAATAAACACATCACCTGTTGTTCACCAGTGGACCCTCTGCAGTGAATGGGTGTCATCAGAATGAGAGTTAATAAAAGCACCACAATAATCCACACAACTTCAGTCCATCAATTAACGTCTTGTGAAGTGAAAAGCTGCATGTCTGTAAAACAAAAATCAAACAAGTCCTCCATCCATAATATTGCTTCTTTCAGTTCACAATTGATGGACTAGAGTCGTGTTTCTGACGGCACCCGTTCACTGCAGAGGAAGAGACGGGATCCATTGGTGGGCAAGTGATGTAATGCTACATTTCTCAGAATCTGTTCCGATGAAGAAACAAACTCATCTACAACGTCATTGGCCTGAGGCTGAGTACATTTCCAGCACATTTTCATTTCTCGATAAACTATTCTTTTAAAATGAATACGGAAGTCCTTCAGTTT